AAAAATATCACAAATCAAGGGCAGGACATAAACGTCGTTCTGAAGATGGAATCGACGATAAAGTCTGCGCAATCTGCGACGGAAGGGTAAGGGATGGAAAACCTCATTCTCAACATTAATAATTTTCTTACGGGGGACAAAATGAGAAATAAGCGGATCCAAAATTTCGTACAGATTTGCCGTGCAAACATTTACATCCGAACTAAGGAAGAAATCAGTGCAGTCGTAGGAAGTAAGGTGTGGTAATAATTCGGTTGAGCGAGTTGATCGGAAATTGCGGAAAAAGCTATACTTTGGGGACAACGTTTTGTCAGCCTCGAATTCCAACGTTGAAACAACTATGTCATGGTCTGAGCCCCCGAGTGGGCCTAGGGATGACACCGACGATGGCATGCAGCCTCTACAGAATATAAGGTTAAGTATGCTTGAGCCTCGGGTGGGAAAATCGACAACCTGATTCCACATCCCAACATCCACAGCCTCAAGAAAGTCTTCGAAACTTCTGGGGCCTAAAGGTGGAGACCGGCGGACTTCGAGGAGATAAAGTCACCCGCAACCAATTAATACTTAAAGCCTAATTCGGTCGCAGCATGAAATGTCTGTGAAAGTAAACGATCAAAATTGTCGTTGGCGTTGGGAGGGCGATAGATGCAACCAACGGGTAAGGAGAACTTATTTTTTACTGCAACCTGGAGCCAGCAGCTGCCTTCTACTGCGAAAAAATGCGGGTGGTCAAGCGGCAAAAATGTAAGTGTTTGCTTTACGTAGACGCAGCTGCCCCCACCACGGCTATCTTGGTGATCATTTCGGATGCAATTATAGCCTAGAAGCGAGAGTTCGGAGTCAGCTACTGAGGCTGATGCCCACGTCTCAGTTACTAAAACAATATCAGGACAATGGACGAACACCAGAGTCTGAAGCAAAGGCATCTTATTAAGCAAGGATCTGGCATTTAAAACAAAAAGTTTTAAGGGAAAGGCTGTTTGTTTCTGAGGGAAGTGGGCTACATCGTCCAGTTCTGGGCTGCCCACGGAGCAAATGGTCCGGATGCAACCATCCGGTTTTGCAAAAAATTTGTGGCATCGAAAAATTCTGACGTGGATAAAAAGGGGTAGGACTTGGTGGAGGGAATGACGGGCAGGTGAACTGGTAACCATTGTTAGCTAACTTGCGCTCCCTCCATAGCAGATAAGTGACTCGGAATGTTTCGCAGTACGAAACTTTGCTTGCGTTTAATTCTTTCCTCAGTTGCCGAACTTAGTACCCCAATAGGTTTAAAAGCTTGTTCAATTACTTTTTCAGAAGTACTGTTTATGTCGCCATAAATCAACTGGTCGACTATTTCGCCGGCTGATGGCCTGCTACGACTAGCAGAGGCGTATTTTTGGACGACTGAAGGGTCAAGAGGTTCAACATGTACTAAAGGGATTTGTGAGTTAATCAGATCTGCAGACGGCGAAGAACATACGCTGGCACCTGCAATGTCTTCAGTCACGATTTTAGCACCCAGAGACGGTGGGGAGGCCGCAAGCTTTCGCCTTTTAGTCCGTGCTCTGCGGGGCATTACAGACGGGAAAAGTTTTCGTTACAGAAGAACGGTCAACACGTTGCCAACGTACGGAAAATCGCACTAAATAGCAAGTGCTACTGTTATTTAACTACGAAAGATAGAAAGAGATAGTAGGGAAAGAAGTCACTACAAAGGTTTTTTTTTACAAAATACGACTATTTTGCCAGACTGTCAAATAAAACTGGGAGAAATTATATCTTGTATTGAAAGGCGACTTTTAAGAGGGACTCAAGTAAAAAACAGGCATTAATTGCTTAAGAATATCCAGATAAATGCAGAGCTTTACTTATCTTTGAAATTGAGCTGCGCGCCTTGAAAAAAATTCCTAGAATAGCCAGCCCACGTATGTCGCCGACCATTTCTCTTTCTCTTGTGGCTTCAACTTTAATGTTGTTGAATCTAAAAGTCTTTCATCTGGGAGCAAAAATCCATCAATTCTTGTCAAATTATTTTCGTCGATAGAAGTAGACCTTATTTTCTCCCATCTAGACCGTTCAACTTAATATCTAGAGTGAATAAGCATTTTATTAATTTGGATAGAATTCCAACGCAACACAGAGTTTCCCCCTCACTGGCAAACGTACAGCCACACCATAATTCTACTCATCTGTCATTTGCCTTTTGAAGCAGATTACTCACCGGGCGTCAACCACATGTTCCCCATATCTGCGCCGGCCCTAGTTCCATTCAGCTCTTCACCTGAGCACATTATCACTGAGTCAGTTTATACCTGTCACTTCAAAACATCTTCAAGAAGCGATGATTGCTCAAATGCTGCTCCCAATTTTACCCAGAAGCACAATCCACCTGAAGGACACGGAATAATGATGGAAATTCTTCTCTTGCAACTTGGACGAATGGAACACGAGAAGTTTGTAAAATTTGTCCTACCGAATAAAAACCGACCGAACTCGAATTCACGGAGACGGTGAGAATCCTGAAAATCTTGTTTGTCTATTGAAAGTCATTGTTTGACAGACGTTTTGAATGTGTTAAAAGGGAGAAGAGGGTAGATAAAGATTATTTTGATTTGGTAGGCAGACTAAGTGACATATGCCAACAAGCTGATCTAGAACAAGCAACGACAAACCAGGTTAAGGCCCCTCTTACTCTACCGGAGGACGCAGTCATACGCAGGTGGATGCTGTCTAACATGAATCAAGATGGTGTTATGACCGTGCAGAAGTAAATAGATAAATGTTTTAAACTCAGGAATATTAAACTGGATAGAAAATTGATTGGCAAAACAAACAGTCAACAGGTACAGGTGTTTGAGATCAGGAAAAATTGGCCGTCACAAAGGGAAACATTTCCTGGAGGGCTAAAGGCCGCCTGTTGGTAGTGCGGGGGATGGCGCTATGCCGCCAACTGCCCCTCTAAAATGCAGAAATGTTTCAAGTGTTCGGGCATGCGCCACAAATCGGCCTGCTGCATAACTATGGGGGCGAGTCTTAGGAAAAAGTGCAACGACGTGTCTGATAGTGAGACGCGGGTGCTAGGTTGTGGACGCCGAAATTACCTATCTGTGATCACAACTGTAAAAGCCGACAGACCTCTAGTGGTCACGGCGTCTGATCTGATGGTTATTACGGTAGGAACGTGGCAGATGATAGGAACACCTAATCATACCCCAATTCATTTCATTGAATGTTGAGCTCAAGGGCGAAAGCCTCATTCCCTTAATAAACTGTCTTATCTCTTGTCGGCACCGTGGCGCATGGCATTTGCAGGGGATTGCCCCTTCCGTCGGCATCGCTGTCAAAGCTGTATCCAACTACGACCCAGAGATGGGTTCTGCAAATTAATGGCAACATATGGAAACAAGCTCACCTACACCAGTTCTAATACCAAGCGCCGTTTTTTGGCTAAAACGCAAGTCGTAAGCACAGTATGTTGGAAATTCTCTCAGTCTCTTGCCTAGTACCCAGCTCAGTGGGCCAGTTGTAGAAATATTGTTAATGTTCTACTCAATGACCAAGCAGTCCGACTACAGTTGGGCACTGCCTCAGACATCATCATCATCATCATCATCATCATCATCATCATCATCATCATCATCATCATCATCATCAGCAGCAGCAGCAGCAGCAGCAGCAGCAGCAGCAGCATCATCATCGTCACCACCATCGTCATAATCCTCCTCCTCCTCCCCCTCTCCTCCTCCTCCTCCTCCTCCTCGTCATCATCATCATCTTCTTCTTCCTCTTTGCCCATACATTTTATCTGAAAATATGTCGAAAATATTGGCCAGCTGTTTCTTATTTTTCGGCGCATGCTGCTATGTGGACACCAGCAGTGTCTCCCTATACCTACATCGGGCTGCCGAGGTTTTATTGAAAAAATGAGAGTATTACCATAGATTATTGATTACCCCAGTTCAGGTAAACAAACGTCACCGGTAAATCAGCCGCTGCATTTCTCATTCTTCTTCTTCCTCCTCGACAGTCCCATCAACATCCCCTGCGTCATCGTGGTCATCAAGTCGAACGTCATCGTCGTAATCACTCGCACAGATGTCTTTGAAGGCGATGCAGATTCCACGAATCGGTATTTTCATAATAACTTGAAAAGCCTTACAAAATTATTCCGATTTTTGTGGGCAATCCAGAAATACTTTTTAGGATAACTGTCGTGCTTTATTCATTAGACAACAATTCTCATAACGGTGGTTGGTTCTGATTAAACCTCTCTTGCCAGTCAACTTCATAACCCACATCCAGTCGTTTTTTGAAACGCCTATTTTGGCTGAAGATATTGGTTTCCACTAACGTCGATATCACATGCATACTGAGAGCACAGGTGTGCGTGTTACAGCACTGTGAAAATTTCTCATTTAATGGTGAGCTGCGCTGCGTGGTCGATACGCAATAAAATGCTGTCTTTTGAGCAAGTTCAACAGTAAAGGCTGCATATTTCAGGTCCACGCCACGTAACCCTGCAAGGCGACAACGGCGACGATGCATATGTCCGCAGTTTGGTTCCGGACTGTTAGCCTGTTCGAGAAGTTGTATATAACACAAGGGAGCTGAATAATGCTGACGACGTAGTATGGCGCATTTGGGCTTACTACTTAAATACCCGGTTAGCCAGTGCAAAGCAGCTCGCGCGACCAATACGTCTTAAGACCAGGACACACAGTAAGTACCTGTGTGAATTTCAGACTTGGCACTGACATTCGAAACTTGGTGCACTTTAAGGCATCAATGCTGATGAACTCAATGCCAGTAAGCGACAGGGTGTATTTAATTTTACGATGAACACACCAGTACGTCGAAAAAAACCACTAATCAGTGGTGAACGTGTTTTCTAGTGTTAGTCTTTGATTTATGTCAGATTCCGACCAAGACCTCTTAACATACTGGAGCAAATTAGACAATCATTATAAGGCTTAGATCTGTCAGTGTAACGTAGACGGAATTTATTAAGGCAGTTCAGTCTTTCCATGTAAGATTGGTTCTTTAAACCCATTATCAGCATTGTTGTCCGGCCTTGTACTCTCTCAAGGCATGTTTGGTCCTTTTCTGGCCATGGCTAACACGCTTTTACGCCATGTTATAGATGGGGATGAACAAACTTGCCGTTAACTCTCCCAAGACTCCTATTTAGCAAAGGTTACAAACGCCCGTCCGATGGCACGGACTATTCCCATGACCATGTTTGCAGCCTTGGTGCACTGCAGTGCTGACTTCATGCTGCTCTGGGTCCATACACTGAGAGCGTTCTGCAAAGATTCGGCGGGAAGAGTACTGTCCTCCAGGAGATATGCCCTCTTGCTGTGATTTGAATGGCAGTTGATTGGACGCAGATGAAGGACGGCAAACTTCTGCACACTGAAATCCAGAAGCCATTTCTCGGACTACATTTTCAGTCGGCGAAGATGATTTTGAAGGGCCTTCTGGTCATTCGTGTCCTTAGGGATTTTCCAGAGATTAACGTTGTCAGCAAAGATTGTTGCACTGCACTTGAGTTCTTGAAGGCTGTCATTGACATAAAGGATAAAGAGTAAGCGTCCGAGAACTGAGCCTTGAGGGAGCAACAGTTCACCAGGTCTCAGAAATCATCTCCAATAAGGACACGCTGTTTTGCGACCAAACCAGAAGCGCACTTATGCCGTCAACAGCGTCTCGTACGCCGGCAGCTGCCTTTTCACGCCTTACGGGGTTGTCGTTTACCACAGACGGTAGGCAACCGGCTTACACCAAGACATGAGGCCGATGGGGCCGCTTTTGGTGATGAAAATAATTGACTTCTGGTCAATCGTCAGTGATCCTATGCATAATGCGGATTTGGAGAACGTTATCTGATAATATCTGATCATCCTCAAAGGGTGACTGCGATTTAACCATTGCTTTCACCTTGAAATTCATTCTCTAAAGACTTTTGCATGAAATGTTTAGGAAAAGGGCACGTATGAATGGTAGCTTATAAAAAAATGCATCGGGAACAACATGCAATCATTTTTTCACCCAGACACACTGACTCTACTAGTTTGGCCGCCAGTTTCAGACGCGTATACCCATCGAGCAAGTTCGAAGGGAACTTCCAAGGACCACATTTGTTAAAAGACCCCACAACACTTTCCGATTTAACACCAGCTAAATTTCTCCGAAAAGAACGTTTTGACTGCTAAAAAGTTTTAAGTACTGCTAGTATTCATGGAGAAATAAATATAAGGTTTGTTTAAATGCTTTCGGCCCTTCAAGTTAAATGAATGAAAGCCAGGTAAAAGTTTAATTTTAAAATTAAGTTATTCTGTTGAGCAATGGTAAAGAAAATACACTTGGATATGGTCCTTAATGGCCATGCGCAATTCCTAAATTGAAATACCTCATGTCAGTTATTATCCAAGTAATTCATGTGATCTGGCACACGGCTAAATTCATATCACCTCATTTCGGCTAAGATATTCTTAGCAGTTAAGCCAGTTTCAGATTTACCGAGCAAATTCCAATGACCAAATATCCGGTATCCTCATCGGACCTCCCCATCGTTATATTAGCAGGGTGCTTGCTTTAATTAGTGCCAAAAATTATCTGCAAAGGATGCCTGGAGATAAGTCACCGGGTTGATCGTATCCACGAATTGCCATATATAGCAGTTTGTAATGGCAAATAGGATTAAAGTTCGAAGGAGCGTAACTGATATGGTGTTGGTAGATTACCGGAAAAGGGCTAGGATTATAAGGGGACCAAGCCAAGTTCGAGAAAATGTTATAGCTACATCACTACACAGCGTACCCTCCTCTATATAGGTACTGCTGAACTCAGCGTATTTCGTGTTCTTTATTTGACCTAGACCGTCCGGCAATTTTCTGAAACTGAGTACATCGGATGTCTTTTTCACCCTCGGGGGGAATTTCCACAATCCACACTGTGCTACGACATCGCAACACAACAACTAAACGTAAGGATATATGTGATTTGCAAAGAAGTAAAATTACTCATAAGAACTGGGAAGGGAGTCCAAACTGCAGAAAAAGCGATGGCAAGCAGGACATTCCACATAGGCTCGAGTGAGTTAGCTAGCTGTTAAGGTAATGCAAACGAAACAGGATCCCACCTATAATAAAGAGGATGTTAGGGCTATGGTTAGGGTTAGTGCCCTCATGAACTCCGAGTTTACACGCCGTTGGAACAGCTGCCATTGTCAGCACATTTCGCGTTTACACCACGTGACCTTGTAAGACGAACACGGTCGCGATCAATGATGGCCGCAGTTCAAATCAGTCCAGGGAGATGCGTCGGCCACAAAATGAAGTTTGCTGGCGCCAACGGCGTGGTAACTGGAGTTTGTGCGTAAAACTGGTACTTTCGATTGTCAAGAGTTAAACAGCTAACAGAACCGAGACGCAAAAGCACGACACACAGTAAGTACCCCTGTGATTCGTTAGTATGTTATTGCGCCTCGGGTTGCCGTGTTCAGGAAAATTCCTAGTCTAACTACTTGCGGTTTGCGACGGGTACTGCTTCATATTCCGCCACTACCAGCACCGCTGTCATCGCTATCCGCTGTATCCAAAGCCCTCATAAGATCCACGAAAGTAGTGCAAAAAACCGGAGAGCGTGCAGTGCATTTAGTGTGTGCTGGAGTAAGTTCGCTAGCAGTTAAGGTGAATCACACGGGAATTTGAGCTCTTCCATAATAGGAGATGGTAGCGCTGTAGTTAGGGTTAGGGAACGCATGAACTCTGAGTTGGCACAGCGTCCATCGTCAGCACATTCCACGTTCGCGCCACGTGACCTTGCAATACGAACACGGTCGCGATCAATGATGGCCGCAGTTCGAATCTGTCTGGGAGGACGCATCCGGCACAAAATGGTGTTCGCCGATGCCGCCGATGTGATAGCTGGAGTTCGGGCGTAATAATGGAACGTTTGGTTGTCAAGAGTGAAAGAGATAACGGAACCGAGACCCAAAACCACTACGTACGCCAAGTACCTGAGTGATTTGGCAATATTGCTGTAACGGTTTTTTATTTCATGCATGTCAATGCAGGACTGAGGATGATGTATTTCTAGAGTAGGCGCCTTAATGTAGTCGAAAAAAACAATTATTTGTAGCCAGCAAGTCTACTCAGATGAAGTAAGTCGATTTCGGACTCTGTTGGTGACGTGAACGGCGGCTTTATTGCCAACACCTCGGCTAAAGTCGGGCGCTGGAGTGAGCACTTCGAACACCATCTCATATTCGATAACCAACAAATCCCCTTCTTGCTCTCTCCTCCAGCGCAGTTTCCTCCCCACCAACCTATGCAGTGCCATGCATCCACCCATCTGGAAGAAAAACCACCGATGCTGTACGAAAGCTTCGCAACAAAAAGGCAACGGGAGAGGACGGTGTACCCGATAAAATCTGCAGGTCCTTTGTTGACACTCTGGCGTCCTGGCTACATGAGATTATTGAACAAGCGTGGATAAACGGGTTCGCCACCGAGGACTGGGGCTTAGGCATCCTTGTACCTATCCTAAGGAAGAGGAATACTTCAAGATCCAAAAACGACCGCGACATAACCCTCATCGACGTTGCGGCGAAGATCTTTGATATTGTCCTACTCAGACGACTTCGTGCTGTGAGTGACTCTAGGATGCGGCGCAATCGGGCCGGATTCCGGTTTGTACGTGAATGACATCAGAGCCGCGCCGTCAATACACAATGAGATGAGGAATTTCGAGCCTGCAACACGCGAACATGCAAGGCGATAACGGCTGCAATAAATGTGGCTGCTGTTTGATTCCGGCCTGTTAGCGTGTACGAGAAGGCATCCGTTATAAAATGGAGCTGAATGACGCTGAGGACGTGGTATGGCGTATTTAGTCATGCTACTTAAATGCCTGGTCAGTCAGTGTAAAGCAGCTCGCGCGACCAAGACGCACGGGAAGTGCCTGTGTGAATTTAAAACCCGATACCGACACCAAAAATTTGGTGCACTTTGAGTCAACAATGCTGATGAACTCATTATCAGTAGACGGGGAGACGATTCCAACCTACAGTAATCGCGTCAGTCCGTTGAAGAAAGCACTTATCAATGCTGGGCGATTTTATAGTGTCAATCTTTGATTTATTTCAAAGTTCGACCAGGAACTCGTAACATGCTGGAGCAAATTGGACCACCTTTCAAAGATCAAATCAGTCAGTGCGTTTGACAAAATAGGTTTATACATTTTAACCTCATCTTCGTCATATAAAATCGAAAGAATTAGTAACAACGTAAAAAAATAAAAGCGTCAAGTGAATGAAGACTAAGGTTCACGTAGTACATCGGTTTTTGTGGTCACATATTCACATTGTCCGCTTGTTACTGCGACATGTATCTGTCAAGCCGAGGTTGGAATGGCTCTACAGACTGTAGCATTACAAGCGCCTCGCTCTGGAAAATCCACAGCTCCATGACACGAATTTCACACGACAGCGCATCTTAAGATCTTACTAATTGTGCGGCTCGTCTCTGCACCATTTCGAGGAGAGTATAAGGCTTCTGCATCCAGGGTCTCCGGGCCCCGATCGCATATTCAAGATGCGAGGTGCAGTATGCTGCATTTGTCCGAGTTGCAGGACAATAGTCATCTGCGGGACCACTGTTCCAATCGACAAAAATCGTCTTGGAAGTTGGTTCCGTCGACATCGCGCATCGCGGTTCCTTTTGACCCTCGGGGAGAATTTCCACAATCCACACTGGGCTACAACATCAGAACACACAGACGACGCGTAAGGATATATATATGATTTAAAAAGTAATAGAAGTACTCAGAAGAACTGCAAGGGGGTTTAAACTGCACAAAACGGGATGGCACGCAGAACATTTAACATAGGCTGGAGTAAGTTCGCTAGCCGTTAAGGTGAAACTTACAAAGAAGGATCCCTCCTATAATAAAGATGAGATTAGGGCTGTTGTAAGAGATAATGTTAGTGCCCTCATGAACTCCGAGTTTCCACATCGCTGGCACAGCTGCCATCGTCAGCGCATTCCACGTTCACACCACGTGACCTTGTAAGTGGAACACGGCAGCGATCAATGATGGCCGCAGTTCGAATCAGTCCGGGAGATGCGTCCGGGACAAAATGGAATTTGCTGGCGCCAACGACGTGGTAGCTGGAGTTTGGGCGTATTACTGGAACAAGCTAGCGGAATCGATACCCAGAAGCACGACACACAGTAAGTACCCCTGTGATTCATTAGTATGTTATTGCAATTGGTTACTCGACGCATGTCAATTCAGAATTGAATATGAAGTCAGCGCCATTAGTAGGGAAGGGTTTACCTGAGTCTACAGTAGACGCGTTAATCGGTCGAAGAAAGCAATAATCTGAGGCTTTTAGGTATTCTAATGGGAAAACATACTTTATGTCAATTTTGGATAACGGATGTATACTATAGCACGGCCGATTGAAAGAAAATCGACTTAGGTCTAGGGGATCCGTTGATGCTTGCTGGAAATCCCTCTCCAGGTGAAATGAAGTAAATATAAGAAAAGTCCCAACCACAAAGTGGTTAGAGAGACTAGTCATGCGTGTGTAGAGGATGTGCGGGAAATTTATGTTATCTGAAACAACACTTGCCTGGACAGTAATTTAAACATTTTCTGCAAAAAATCGTTAGGCGACAGCGATTACCGGCAGAAGGCAACTGATATAAATTTATAGAAATAAACCTTGTAGATACTGCTCTGTAATGGCAACTCGGGAAACATGGCCTACCATATGTCACCTTGGGTTTTGCGTGGTTAGGGAAATCCCCTGTCCAACTACTTGTGATTTCCAACTGGTATTGCGTCATCGTGCACCCCACCCAACGCCGCTGTTGTCGATATCCACTGTTTCCAAAGCCCTCATGTGATTCACAAAGCTAGTGAAAAAAACCGGAGAGCACGCAGTGCATTTAGTGTGCGTTGGAGTAATTTCGCTAGCCGTTCAGGTGAATCACACGGGAATTCGAACTTTTACATAACAGTAGACCCTAGCGCTCTGGTTAGGGTTACGGATCTCATGAACTCCGAGTTTCCACATCGCTGGCACAGCTACCATCGTCAGCACATTTCGCGTTCACACCACGTGACCTTGTAAGTGGAACACGGCAGCGATCAAGGATGGCGGCAGTTCGAATCAGTCCGGGGAGACGCATCCGGCACAAGATGGAATTTTGGTGCATTTCATGAATGTTTTTTCAAAAATAGAGGCGACTGACTGACCCCGATTCATAAAACCACGGTACCGCGTAAGCATTTGTGTGATTCGCAAATATCACTTTTACGGTTTTTATTTCATTCATATAAATGTAGCACTGAGGATGATGAAGTTCTATAGAAGGATCGTTAACCTAGGCAAAAAACAATTATTTTTAGCCAGCAGGTCTTCTTGCATGCCCTATGTCAATTTCAAAGCCTGAATATATAGCAATATAGCAAAGCAATCTGAATGAAAATTCGTTGCTGTTTGGTGATCTGTTGTTCCGCTCCGGAAATCCTCATTCATTTAAATAAAGAAGATTTGAGGAAAGTCTCATTTACCAAACAACTAGCGGGACTAGCCAGGCGTGCACAGTGGATGTGCGGGGAGGCTGTGTTACCTGGCCCGACGACGCTCAACAGGATAATAATCTATAATTTTCTGCTAACATCTAGGAGGTTAGAGTAAGTACCGATGGAAGGCAAGTGACGTAAATTTGGAAAACATGAACGTGCGAGATAAGTCTCCGTGTAAAAAAATATATGTGATTTAAAAAGGAACAGAAGTACTCAGAAGAACTGCGAAGGGGTATGAACTGCAGAAAACAGGATGGCACGCAGAACATTTAACATAGGCTGGTCTGAGTTCGCTAACCGTTAAGGTGAGACATCCGAAGCAGGATCCCTCCTTTATTAAAGAGAAGATTAGGGCTATTGTTAGGGATAATGGAAGTGCCCTCATCAACTCCGAGTTTCCGCATCGCTGGCACAGCCGCCATCGTCAGCACATCTCGCGTTCGCTCCACAATCCACAATGTGCTACGGTATTTCAACACACCAAGTGAGCGAAAGGATATGTAATTTACAAAAGTAGTACATTTATTTGGAAGAACTGGGGAGGGAGTATAAACTGCGGAAAACGGGATGGCACGCAGAACATTCAACATAGGCTGGTGTGAGTTCACTAGCCGTTAAGGTGAGAAAAACGAAGCTGGTTCCCTCCTATAATAAAGACGAGCTTAGGGCTGTGGTCAGGGTTAGTCCCCTCATGAAATGCCAGTATTCACACCGTTTGAACAACCACCACTTTCGGCAGATTTCACGTCTGCTCTGTGGTTAGAGTTAGGGAACGCATAAACTCCGAGTTGGCACAGCGTCCATCGTCGGCACATTCCACGTTCGCGCCACGTGACCTTGTTAGACGAACACGGTCGTGATCAATGATGGCCGCAGTTCGAATCGGTTTGGGAGGACGCATTCAGCACAGAATGGTGTTCGCCGATGCCGACGATGGGATAGCTGGAGTTCGGGCGTAACAATGGAACGTTTGGTTGTCAAGAGTGAAAGAGCTTACGAAACCGAGACCCAAAACCACTACATACGGCAAGTACCTATGTGATTTGTCCATATTGCTATTATGGTTTTATATTTCATGCATGTCTATGCAGCGCTGAAGATGATGCATTTCTACAGTAGGCGCCTTAATGTAGTCGAAGAAAATAATTATTTGTGGCTAGCAAGGCTCCTTGCACGATTTATGTCGATTTCGGACTCTGTTCGTGACGTGAACGGTGGCTTTATTGCCAATACCTCGGCTAACGTCGGCCGCTGGTGTGAGCACATCGAACACCATCTCAAATTCGATACCCAACACACCACGCCTTTGCTCTCCTCTCCAGCGCAGTATATTCTTCCTCCAACCCATGCAGTGTCAAGCGACTCTCCATCTAAAAGAGAAATCACCGATGCTATAAAAAAGCTACACAACAACAAGGCACCCGGAGATGACGGTGTACCCGATGAAATTTACAGGTTTCGTGTCGAAACTCTGGCGTCCTGGCTCCATGAGGTGATTGAACAAGCGTGGCGAGATGAGGTTGTTCCTGATGACTGGGGCTTAAGCATCCTTGTATCTATACTCAAGAAGGGGAATAATACAAGATCCGTCAACTACCACGGGCTAAGTTTCATCGACATTGCGGCGAAAATCTTCGCTATTGTCCTACTCAGACGATTTCGTGCTGTACGTGGCTCTAGGACGAGGCCCAACCAAGCCGGATTCCGTGCTGGACGTGGATGCGCAGATCAGATATTCACACTTAGGCGCATTCTCTAATTTCGCCATGGGTACCAACAACCGACGGCCGTCTGCTTCATTAACTTTGCCGCCGCGCTCGATTTCGTCCATCATGAGTCCCGATGGCGGATAATGGCACTAGATGGTGTATTGCCAAAACTCATTGCCATTTCCGCCTTAAGCAGCCGCTTTGGAGTGTGTTCAACTGCCCTTACGTGCGCCCAATGTGTCTGCATCCGCAAATATATGTAAACTCATGAATACACCTTGATGTGGCGCGCACAGGCAAAATATCTTTAGCTGGTCTAACTGGTCGTTGTGTTCATTATCGAGTCACGTGATGCCAAATCATTCCGGCATTTTCAGGGCATCGACTTCCGAACTAGCTGCTCATCGACCGCTGATCACTGAATTTGATGACTTCTATCCCCCCACAGCATGGGCAACCGCATACTAAATCCTGCTTAATTAATTCTCCTAACTGAAAGCATATTTCAGTTTTTTGGCCTGCGTTTCATGAGATAGCACAGCTATTGCATCTTCAACATCGACACTGTTGCGATTGGTGAAACACGGACGCTAAGGGGGGTGTCATGAGAGAAACAACAAATACACTCTCTTCTTTTTGGCGCACCGTGTGTTTAGGCTAAACACACTCTCTTATCACATGCCTACTGATTGTCATTCAGTACTTCATTGTCACTTCAGAACTTCATTTTGCTTTGCGATGGCCTTCGAGGGATTGCAGACACGACCTACTCTCTACATGTGGCAGGCTTCAGAGAGGACTGCCAGGTCACACACAAGTGATACAGAGAGCGCGCGCCTCAAAAACAGAAGTAAGGAATCACTGTTTCCTGGCCATCGTTCAAACGGAGGACTGGACCATCCGTCTGGACGGTGTAAAGTAACGCGCTTAATTGATCATAGTGAGGAAGTTCGGCGATGACGACGACGACTCGGAACCGGACCTTTGCAAGCACGGGGCCTCCAGACTTCCAAAACGCTTACATACACATGTCGTTTTCTTACAAATTCTACACAATAGTCACAAGAAAATACATTCTAGAAGGGAATTATTGTTAAATCAGCTGGTAACTTCGTCAACCAAATCAGATATATCAGGTAAACTCTCCCAAATTCTCTGTATGTATACTCTCTCCGAAGTTCGATCAGATCACTTTTCTCTTGCTGAAAACGACAAATTCGGCCGTTAAAAGCCTCAGGTTTCTGAGCCACTGTAAAGTCCATGAGGCATGGTAAGTCGGCTGCCGGCTTCCGGATGAAAGAGAAAGGTATATTCGGGAAAATTTGTTGGAAAATCAGAACAACAGAAGACTTATTAATCCACACGAAATATAAACTTATATTTAGATTGAATGGGATTGAGGAAGAAGAATATTGAGTACTGAGAAGAAGATCAACTGCTGACACCAGTGGAGCGACTGGTCTGCAAAATCGGATCTGAGCAGTAGTCTGGACTCGATAGGCTGATATCGTTTGCGATATTCCTGCCATCCCATGAAAGCATTTCGTTGAACTTTTTCTCCTTAACTGGACAATATTCTGTGAAGCAGGAAAATTAATGTACGACTTCGAAGGGGAAATTTGTTGATGTTTGAAATCAATAACTTCAGGCAGTTACGATTCAATCTCAATAGTTAAAGTCTTGCTCTGATGCTATCCATTACCTCCTTCGGATCAAGTCCCAAATGGGAAGAGGTGTACGAAAAGTGTGTTCTGTACAGAGTGGCGAAGGAATGTGTTGAGCAAACTGATAGACAGAGAACAGCAGCACGTCTAGATCCGCAGGGACGGGCGTCCAAATGCCTTGAGTGAGCACTATAATGTCTGAGCCTTGAAGTTGATTGGCTCCTTCGAGCAGCTGTGATTGGTCGAAAGCCAGACAGAGAATTCCGGCTTGAGATTTTGAGCGGGAGAACAACACAGGGCCTTGGAATGTCCGAGGGACAATCGCCGCAATATGTACATGTAAAAATTCGCCAAACAGAGTCAGCGTTTCAGCAGACGCCCGGAGTAGAGTCAATACACGTGCTCCCCGCCATTATGCAGTTCAAATTCACAGAGCAACTTTTTGCCTTCTGACCCGCTCCAAATCATAAATTAGTTTAGAAAACATTGAATTAGTTTGCCATCAGTTCGCCTGCTCCTCGATTGTCCAGTCAAACGTGAATTTCGTTTTGAAACGGAACTTCTCATACTTGCACCCCACAATGACCGCCATATCGGCCTTTCAGGGGTTCGCAAGGCTAATGCAATGATGTGTATGTCCAAATCCAGACCCGCCAGGTGACTGCACATGTACCTAGATCTCGTCCTTGGTGGGCCGCACTATAACACCATCAAACCACTCCACGCTTCCACTTAAAGAACGACGACGACGACGACGATGACGACGACGACATCGTCCTGTTTTCCCCAGTGCCACCTGGCCTGTCTAATGTCAGTTCTTTCAGGTTCCGAACTCGACACATTTCCTAAATGATTTTTCTCCAATGTAAATAAGGTTGTCACTTTCACAACCCATACTACCAATGCATTAAGGAGTCCAAACTGATGTGGTCGCACGCTCACCAGTAGAAGACCACATTCGCATAACTGAAACAAAAAGTTGGTTTCATTGCATGGATGATGACTTCTTTGGTAATTGCCTTTTCCTTCCTTACAAGCGTTCATAGATGAAGCGCATTGGCTTTTAATGTCAGAACTTGTTGTAACGAACCGTGCGCAGAAAAGTGTCTTTGCGCAGAAATACTGGAACTGAAAGTGCATTTTAACGCTGACGATAACACCAATGGGCCAGTCTGGTCACAATCTGGTCACGCACCCAATCGAATTGTAGCCATGACAGTGGGAGCA